CTGAGCGGATGGGTGTGTGCAGGTGGGCAGGCGGGGTCCCGGGCTGAACGGATGGGTGTGTGCAGGTGGGCAGGCAGGCAGAGACTGGGCTGAGCGGATGGGTAGGTGTGTACAGGTGGAGGTCCCGGGCAGAGCGGATAGGTCTGGGCAGAGGTCCCAGACTGAGCAGATGGGTCTGCACAGGTGGCAGTCCCGTGGAAGCCTACTGGGGCCAGGCTGGGGACTGTGGACTTGGCCCTTAGCACTGTGATGTGTTTGCATCCAGGCTTCTGTCCGATGACGTGATCCGGTCCAGCTCAGGCACCGCTCTGTGTAGTCATGGTTAGTGGTAGAACAGTATTTGAGAAGCGGCTTCCTTCCGCTTTTTACTGTTAGAAACTGTCGTATTGGTGACTGAGTGTCATTTTGTTAGCACAGTTGGTCTTTTTCTGTCCTTTCACTTAAAAAAAAAAAAAACTGTTGCAGGATAATTTGGGGTTTACAAGAAGTTGCAGAGGTAATTCAGAAACCCTACAGCTGGCTTTCCCTAATGCTGTTATCTCAGATTCCTGTGGTACATTTGGTAAAAACAAGAAACCAACACTGGCATGTTACTCATAACTGAACTGCAGCTTTGTTTGAATTTCTTTTTCCACTAACGTGTCCTTTACATGCCAGAGTCCAGTCCAGAGGACCCCGCTGCATTTGGTATCTCTGTACTTTCCACCATTATATTTAAGGTGGGTTTCTGGTACATAGTGTGTAATAGCATGTAGTGGGATCTTTGTTTTCATCCAAGCTAACAGCCTCTGCCTTTTGAAAGAGCTGTTTATAACTGTACTTTTAATGTGATTTTTGGTATGATCACATGTAAATCTATTGTCTTGCTGTTGGGTTTCTGTCTGTTCCATCTTGGTTTCCCCTTTCCCCTTTCTTGCCTTCTGGATTGAGATTTTTTTTGGGGGGGGGGTCTATTTTTTGAGCAGTTTTAGGTGGGGTCTTTGAGAGGTGTTCTGCCTCCATTCCACTTGGCGGCCCTGCAGCTGGCCTCGGGACCACGGGCAGTGGCCATGTCCAGGGCTCAGCTTGATGTCTTCCATGTCAAGGTTCACTCTCCTCCCTGGCCTGATGCTGAGTCTTGAGCGCCATTGTTTCACCTAGTTTGTCTGGACTTTTGGTGGTTTCAGGAAGGAGAGCAAATCTAGTCCCTGTTCCTCCCGTCTTGGCTGAAAGTGAAAAGTCCTCATATGTATGATTTTTAAATAAAAGTCGGTTTCCCTTTTGTACAGGTCATGCCAAATGTTCTTTCTTGGTTAAAGCTTCCTGGTTAAAGAGCAGTGCCGGGCCTGTTGGCAGGAAGTCAGGTGGCCTGAATCTTAGGGTGCTCTTGGAATATCCCAACGCATCTGCTTCAGCTTGTGGACAAGGACTCAGGGTCACTAGAGGGCAGCGTGTGAGATCAGAGTGGCCAGAATGGCGGTGGGCCAGCCCAGGGTCTAGCAGCTCAGCCAGCAGCAGTCCAGAGGAGAAAGTCCGTGCACGGCCCCCAGGACCCCTCACGGCACCTGTGGGCGATTTCTCCCTCCCACCCTCAGGCCACTCCACACAGAAAGCTTCGTTGAACACTCCTCGCAGTACACAAGACAGAGACGATGAGGAAGCACGAGACCAGCTGCCCCGTGGCACGTGCCCCGCGAGGGCCTGGCGTCTGGCACTCTGGGCTACCCAGTTCTGACCCGAAACCCTGGTGTCCGGGTTGGAGCTTTGGCTTGCTTCTGTTCCGGGAGGCAGCGTGGTTTGTGTCCCACACAGTATGCTACGCTGATGGCACTTGGAAGTCACCCCGTCAGTGTTTCCCGAGGGGAGACGCCACACCAGGCGGGGGAGGAATCTGTTTCCACAGCCCAGCGAGTTCAGGGAGACTTGTTGTCTAGGAGCATCTCAGAGGAGGGCCTGGGGAGCGCTTTTATGTTGCCACCCCCCCACCCCCGCCAGTAGGGGTGGGCTGACCTTCCACTGCCCATAGCCATCTGGTGGTGAGCAGCAGTCAGGGCCCTTAGTCGCGGCCCTGCATTTGTCCACTGTGTTGCCACTGTCTGTCACTCCCAGATCACCTCTCCTTTCTTAGGCTGTCCCTGGAAATCCCAAACCCGAGAGCCATCGTGGTCCAGAGAGCCCTGCCACGTGGTGATTTATGGGACCCGGTGTCTCTCTCTGGCCTTCGGCTCCGAGTTCACAGCCCTTGATACACGTCCTGAGGTTCCATTTCCGTGAAATGAATCCCCAGAGTCGAATGGCCTGGCTGGGGGGTGACACGTGAGCAGACTTGTCCCAGCGTCCGGAGCCACAGCCCAGGCTGGCCCGGGCGTTTCCAGCGCTGCTCTGGTGTCATGGCGCAGGGGTGGAAGAAAAGCGTTCCTCCTCGTCAGGGTTCGGACACCAGCCCTTGGGGGCTGACTTCATCGAACGGGCATCACAGTTGCTTGTTTCCAAGTTAAGTTGTCCTATTCTTAGTTTACGTGAGCTGCATAGTTTATGTAGTAATAAAATCCCATTTCTCTGCCGTACATGTGACGTACATGTGAAATCAGCTTTTCCCAAGACTACCGATTTGCCTCCTGGCTTTTTAGTTCCACAACTTGTCGAATGAATTACCTTTTCTTTGCCGGCTTTGGGGTATCTTGCTGGAAACACCCCCTTTCCAGCCAAGGTACAGCATGTAGCAAGAGTCTCCTATTTGCTCTGTGTGATGCGCCCGCCCCTTCCCTTGTCTGCATCTGGATTTTCACCCATCTTGTGTATAGAACGTTTTCTTCCAGACAGAGACCAGCTGTGCCTGCCAAACTTTGAAACCGCACAGCCTTTCACTCTGACTTGACATCTGTCTTCTGTCTCTCAAACACACACATGCACAAACACACACACACACACATTGAGAGTTCTTCCTGGGTCAGGACATATGTCCTGCTTTTAGAATCGGGCAAAAAAAGTCTTATTATTTTAACAACAACAGAACAAACAAAAACCCAGCCAGCGTCTTTGGAAATGCCTGGCAGCCTGGAGGTTGCAGGGGGAGCGCACGGGGGTCTTCCCGGCCCCAACCAGGAGGCCAGAGCAGGGAGAAGACAAATAAGGACCCAGCTGCTTGTAAAATAAAGTTTTCCCTTTTATTTCAAATCAACCCATTCCCAAGTTAGTGCTGCAAGTTGGGATGATAGCCCTAAGCCCCCTGTGTGTGGCAGGGGCGGGGGCACTCACACCCTTCAAGGATGGGCCTGGTGGCCAGGGATGAGGCCTGGGGGGCTGGCCGGCTAGCCTCCCCTCCCTGTTAGCCCCAGGGACCGCCCTGCCCCCTCACTGACTCACAGGGGCAAGGGCGTGTAGGAGAAGGGGCAGGGCAGGGAGGCAGTCCCATGTGGCTGTCCGTGGCCAGAGGTGCTGTTCTTGCTGAGAGCACCATCAGGCTAGGTTAGTGGGGTCTCCTCCGGCAGCCAGGGAAGGAACTGCAAGGAGAGCAGATAGTGCCACATGCAGGTGGGCAGGGCCACCCACCCCCTGCCCAGAGGGAGGGCGAGGTGAGCAGGGCTGGCTGGGGGGGAGCCAGGGCGTAGCTCTGGGAGCTCACCGGGGTGGGGGCCCAGTCTCCAGTCTGGCAGGGAAGAGGGGCTCAGATAGATGACTGCCACTGCACGAAGCGCTTGGATTCCTGTGGGGAGATGGGAGGGGGCATGGAGGGGACCTCGCTTCATAGCACAGGCCCCCAGCCTCTGCCCTCAGGCCGGTGAGTCCAGTACCTGAGGGTTGAAAGGGTCGTCATCATCTGTGTCATCATAGTCGTCACTGGGGGACGAGGGGAGTGGCAGAGAAGCAGGATGGGGGATCCATCAGGAGGCTCCCCCCCAAGCAGGAGCCCAGGGGTCCGCCCTGCACGGCCTCCCCCAGGACCATGCCCTCCCTCCCCTCCTGACCTGGGCGGGAAGAGAGCCCAGGCACGAGGCAGGCTGCAGAGGGCAGTGGCCAGGGCCCCCGCAGACAGCAGGGAGAAGAGCAGCAGGAAGAGCAGGCCTTCCAGGGCATCCTCACACAGGCCCCGCAGGGCAGCGCCGTAATCCTGGGGTGGGCGGGGGAGGGCATCAGCGGGCACGCCCCCCCACCCCTCGCTGTGCCTCCGGACAAGCACACAGGCGGTGCTCCGACCACTGTCATTACTACACCTGCAGGCGTAAACCCAAACCTTGGCCCCCTCTCCACCCCACCGCCAGCCACCAAGCCAGCTCAGCTTCGGTCCAGTGCGGGGCTTCTGACATCGTGAGCCCCACGATTCTCCGTGATGGGGCGTCCCGCGCCGGTAGGATGTTGAGTAGCTTCCTGGGGCCCTGCTCCCTATCTGCCAGGAGCACCCCCACTCTGCCTGTGACCACCACTGCCACATGCCCCCCGGGGCAACATCTCTGGCTTAGAACACTGCTTGGAAGAACCCCCGCCCCCAACTTAGAATTGCACCTTGCACATAACACACTCTCGGTAAACGCTGGCAGCCCCTCTCGTCATCCCTGGAATTGAGCTGAGTCGTTTCCTGAATGCCCAGCCATCATTCACCCCACAGAGAAGCCAAGGGCCTGCTCTGTGCCAGGTGTGGCTCCCAGTCCCAGGGACGCTTGAGTACCCATGGCTCCGGAAGGTCATTTCAGGTAACCATAAACTGAGAGGGGACCAGAAGGCAGGACTGGACCCCAACAGCAGAGACCACCCTTGACAGGAAGGAACCTTGACAGGAAGGAGCGGTTTGAGGGCTGCTGTGGGCCGTGTAGAGAGGGTGGTGTAAGGGCCTGAGCCTGGGACCAGCCGGGGGGGGGCCCTTTCCGGTGACACCAGGAGCCAGACTTTAATCCGTAAGCAGGGGAGTCACTGGAGGGTTTTAGTGGAGAAAGAACTTGATCGGATTGTGGGAGAGAGACTCACCCAGCTGCTGGCTGTTGGGGAGGACAGATGGGGGGGCAAGCAGGGGGACAGGGAAAAAGCTCTGTGGCTCCTGGGTGGGAGGTGAGGAGGGTGACCAGGGTAGCAGCAGTGGCGGAGGGAGCCGTGCTCCGAGTCCAGATGGGCTTCAGGCGGCAGAGCTTGCCTGGGGAGTGTGTGTGGGAGGTGGGACAGACGGCAAAAGGGATGATCCTAGGTTTCCCGCTTGAGCCCCTGGGCGGGGAAGGGGGGTGGCAGCTGTGTCTGGTACTTTCACTGGAAAGCCGAGCCAGGGACCCCTCAGAGCAATGGGGCATTCTCTTTTTACTGTTTCAGGCACCTAGACCATGTCCTTTCATGCTCCTCCTAGCCCTGCAAAGCAGAGATCTGGGCCCCCTCACACTGCTGCCTTTTGTGGGCAGAAAGTTGAAGCCCAGAGAGGGCAAGCCACTTCCCCAGAGTCACACAACCTGGAAGGGGTAGAGCTGGAGGTAGAGGTAGTCACACAACCTGGAAGGGGTAGAGCCAAATCTGTCAGGCCTCAGAGACACCTTCCTGCCACTTTATCCCTGATGTCCCTCAATCCTGAATAGTATGTGGGAACCCTGAAGCCCAGAGAGGGGAAACAGGGGCCTGGAGTCACGGGGTGCCCAAGTAGAGGGTGAGACTGACCCCCCCCCCCTTCCCTCTGTCCACAGTGAACCTTGGGAAGTGCGATCCAGACCAGGGTCAGCCCGGACTGGAGAGAAATTTGTGGGCCTCAGTTTACCCTTAAACGAAAGAGCAGGGTTGCCTTCTGGAGGCCTGTAGCTCAGGTACTCAGCAATTCTGAGTGTTGATTCCCTGCCCCTCCCTCACCGCCACTGCTCCCTTGCTGCAGTGCCAATCTGAGATGCTCTGGGGACAGCGGGAGCTGTGGAAGGGGTGCGGATCCCAGCAAGGGCCAGGTCAGGTCCGTGCTGTGGGACAGATGGGTCCCACTGATGCAGTCGCCAGATCAAAGGCAGGATGCCCAACCAAAAAAGTATTTAGTACAAACATGTCCCCACTATGGCATGGGACCTACCTACAGAGATATTTGTTGTTTGCTAAATCTGGCAGTCCTGTTGGAGAGCCACTGCGGGGACAGACTAGAGGGGGGACGAGGCATGGGTGCTCCCCTGGGGGGGGAAAGACTAGGCCTGGGGGGCAGCAGGCCCTGGGAATGGGAGTGGGGTGAGGAAGCCAAGGGATGACCCTGGACGACTGCCTGGCAGCGGAGGCTCACAGGCACGTCATGGTGAGGTGCCGTGATGACAACATTTCCTTCAGAGGGCATGACGACGGAGGGCTCAGGTGCGTCCCACCTGTGCCACATCTAGTAAAGCCGGGCGCAGTGAGTCACTCTAACAGACTGTGGCCCCTGGGCGGGAGGTGAGGAGCCCAGGCTGTCGGGCCCCAGAATTCACCGAGCTGCCAGGGCTCCAGGAGAGAGACGAGGCGGGGGGGGCAAGGGGGAGGAGGCGGGTGGTTGCAGGGTGGGGCGGGGAGGGAGCCGATGAGGGCGGGCTGGCGGAGCGAGCGAAGGTGACGACAGACGCACAGACGGGGGTGGCGGGGCGGTAGAGATCAGCGCTACGGCAGGTGAGAGAAGCGCAGGGCTGTCTCGGGCTCCCCGGAGGAATCTGGGGGGCGGGGCGCACCTTGTGCAGGCCGCGGCAGTGCAGCAGCGCCACCAGCTGGTGGAAGTTGCCTTCCGTCACATTCAGCGTCTCCTCCAGGGACAGTAGAGGCTTCTGCGCGGGACGGGAGGGTCACCCCACCTGCTCCTCGGGACCGGGCTGGGCCAGGCTCCGCCCACCTCGGCGGGCTCCGCCCACAGGCCTCGGGCCCCGCCCACAGCCTCCCCACCACTTCTGGTCCGAGTCCGGGTGTCGAGGGAGCACCCGGCTGCCCACCTGCGCAGAAGGGAACTGGGGGACAGCTTCCCGCTCGAGGCCCTGCAGCTGGGAGTGGATGTTGGCCAGAGCTCGCTGCGACAGAGTCAGCCTCTGCGGGAAGACAGGGGGAGGGCCAGGTAGTGGCCGCCCCCAGCCCACTCTCCTCCCGAGGGACGCAGGACTGCGGGCCCGGGGGTCCCCGCAGCCTCCCCCAGGACCTGCAGTCCTGGCCCCAGCCCGCCCTCCTCCACCCCGCTCCCTTGCCCGCTCCCCTAACCTGCTGAAAGGGGTTGGAGACCGCCTGGTGGCAGAGGAAGTAATAGCTCAGGATGTCTGAAGTGGGAGGGAAAGAGGAGACACCCATGAGCCTGGGTCCCCGGAGCTCCCCCCCGCCCCCCGCGCGAAGCTAGGAAGTGGCAGGGCCCTGCCTTCCCACCCTCAGGACCGGGGGCCTCTCCCAAGCCCAGTGGCCTCCTGTGGTGCCCACCGCCTGGCCTTCAGGGACAAGCTACCTACACCGTTCCATCACTTCTGCTCCAACCACAGCCAGAAACTGGAGGGTCTCCACACTCCCTGCAAACCTCTGCTTCTGCCGTCCTGCCCTTGACTAAATTGTGCGCATTCCTGGCCAAATCCTCCTGTTCCTGGGGAGGGACTCCCAGCCTTGTCTCCTGACCGCTCTCCCCCAAGTCCAGCATCTGTATTCCTGTCTCTTTCCCAGGCCAGCAGGAGAGGTGCTGAGAGCTTCTGAGACCGGGCACCCACCCTGCCCGAGGGCCTGAGGAGTCAGGGTCTGCATGGGGTTGATGGGGTCACCTGAGCTGAGCCCAGTTTCCTCCTGGGTCAGGTTCAGGATGTAGGTGTCAGGACTGGAGCAGAAGTCACTGAGGCCCTGAGGGAGGCAGGGAGAGGGGGGCTCGGACCAGACACTGCTCCAATTCCATACACCCACAGAACGGGGTGTCTGGCTTACCACCCCAGCCCCCACCATTCCTGGGGAGCCAAAAGTCCAGGCCCCCAGTCCCCCATCTCAGACCCAAGGGTCCAGACCCCCAGCCCCTCCTCCCTCAGACCCAGGAATCTGGGCTTCCAGCCCCCACCATTCCTGGGGAGCCAAAAGTCCAGGCCCCAAGTCCCCCCATCTCAGACCCAGGGGTCCAGACCCCCAGCCCCTCCTCCCTCAGACCCAGGAATCTGGGCCTCCAGCCCCTCCTCCCTCAGACCCAGGAGTCCAGGCCCCCAGCCCCCTCTTCCCTTAGGAAGTGTCTAAGTCTCCAGCTTCTAGACCTCAGAACATGTGATCCTGGCTCCAAGTCCTTCCCCTCAGGACCTGCCCTGGGACCCAGGGGCCTGGCCTCTAGCACTCACCACAGCTGTAGCTGCCTCCAGCCCCATGGAGCCCCAGCTCAAGACAAGAACCAGGAGACTCATCACTGTCATCCTATAAAGGGGTAAGGGACAGGTTTGCGGTTCTGGGGTTCTTAATTTCCCTGCCTCATCTCTTCCCTTCCTCCACCCCAAATCCCATCACAGCCCCACCCCTCCTTCCCTACCAACCTCTGGAGCCTCGAGGATCAGAATTAGGGGCAGAGAAACTGGAGGGCGGGGGGAGGACGAGAGTGCAGGTAGTAGACCTGTGATTGTTTATAGCAAACTGAACATCTGGTCTCTCCCCAGGAGTGAGGGGGAGGACAGTGAGAAGAGGGCCCTGGGCTAGCAAGCCAGCAGCCTAGATCCCAGCCCAGCTCTGCCCCCGCCTTGCTCTGGGATTCTGGGAGAGCTGCTGCCCACTTCTGGGCTCTGCTTCCTGGCTTTGCATCGCGGCAGCCCAGCAGTCCCAGCATATCTCCCAGCTTGGAGCATGGCCTGGTCAGCTTCCTGTGCCAGCCACACCTTTCCTCCAAGACCTGGCTGCCACCAGGGCTGGAACTTCAGCCGGGTTTTTTTCTGGGGAGGGGTCCAGAGGCGAGGGTCAGCACTGGAGGGTGGTCACCACCTCTCAGCCTCAGGGGGAGCCTGCAGGGCACAGCAGGACTTCTCACCCAGGGGGGTGTGGAGACTGGGGAGCACCAGCAGGACCCCCAGAGGTAGCGAGGATTCAGGGGTTCTTCTACATGGGACGGACTGGCCTGAGTCGGAAACCAGCTCTAGCTCTTCCTGGCTGTGTGGCCCGGGGCAAGTGGCCCAACCTCTCTGCGCCCCTCTCTCCATGTTAATGGGGAGAAGGGTCAGTGTGAGGGTTCCAGAATAGGGCTGGCCACACGGAACGAGCCATTAAGTAAGGATGTGGTCTTGAGTTTCCCTGAGCCCCGTAAGGGCCACGCAGCCTCAGAGGTGGAAGCCCCCTGCCTGCAGTGCCCCTCGGCAAGTCAGGTGCTGAGGGGGCCCTCCCTCGTGGAGCTGTGTGTGCACGGCCGTCGGGGGAAGTCAGAAACCGCCCCATCCTCAGCGCAAACATTATACCGTTTTCCCTAGGATTTTGGAGCTCTTTGCTCGCCTCGGGGCCTGTGTTCCCCGCTCTGCCGGCCCGGCCTGCGCTAGGTCTGGTGTCTTGGCAGGTGCTGGCCCAGCCCAGGACCTCCCTGGAAGTTTGTGGGACGAGGGAAGGAGGACAGTGTCCCTCCTGCCAGAGCTCTGTGGGCGGGAAAGCGGAGGCCACTCGGAGGGCACCCGGACTTACACGATCACCAGCCACTTGCTCTGCTTTGCCAGGCCCAGGAGGGTGAAAAGACAGACAAGCAGCTCCAGGAGCAGCAGGAGAACATAGGCCAGCCACCTGGAGAAGGGACGAGGGCCACTGAGCGGCACATCCAGCCCTCCGGCCCCCCGCTCATGCTCTTGTCCCCGGCCACAGCCGGCTCCTTGAGAAGCAGGTGCGCTGGGAGGCGTCCACTGCGGCCCTTCAGAGCTCAGGTGCCGGGGGCCAGGCGCCTCCCCGGCTGGACCACACACAGGCCCTGTCACCGGGCACGAGCCACTGGTATCCCCCAGCACCACCTGCCACGGCACCTGCAGAGTAAAGTGAGCGGTTCCCGGGCGTGGGCTGAGTGTCCTGTGGCACGCCCTGGGGCTGGGTGCCAGTCTCTCCACTTCCTACCTGTGCAACCTTGTTTCCGGGGCTTTGCCTCTGTGCCTCAGTTTCCCCACCTGTAACGTGGGGGAGAACAGTAGTGCCCACTCCGAGAGGGAGTTGTGAGGCTAAGGAGCGTGAACTTAGAAGGGTGCCAGGCACACAGACGGCCTGAAACTCAAGCTGGACCGTCACTCAGGGAGCTTCCAACGTTAGCGTGAGTTAACGACTGATTCCCTCCGCTCGGAGGGCTGGCACAGCAGAAGCGTTCTGGAAATCGCCGCACGGGCCGGGTGAGTGCCCGTGGTGTGCCCCAGCTGGGCCCCGGCTGGGCCCCCACCTGCCGGGTCCCCCACAGCTGTGCCCAGCTGAGGCACCCGAGCAGCTAGCGGACCCTGCTTTCCCGGGGTTGAGCTGGGCCGCGTGGCTCAGGGAGACCTGCAGGCCTTTGCTCCCAGCGTCCCCACTGCGCACCCCAGCTTCACTCTCCCTTTTTCCATCAGGGGCAGCCCACCCTTCTGCCCTAAGCCGCTGTGCACGCCCGGTCTGGGCCTCTGGGAACTCGGCCAGGAAGCTCTCCCTCTGGGGGCCCCAGTAACCTTGCAGGAAACGGGCCACCTTCCCTGAGGGAGGACTCCCGGGGCCAGGCTCTCACACTGGAACTTCCAGCGACCTTTCCTGTTGGGGGTGGGTCTGCCTCAGCCCTCGGCTGCCTGGGGCACCTGGAGCGGGGCTGAGGCCTGGCCCAAGGATGGCCTAGCCAAAGCGCAGAACCTGGACTCCCTGGGACCCAGGCTTGTCTGATGCCCCACGGGGGCAATCTCGTCACAGACTGCTTCATCCCTGGGGGCCCTCCACCCTGCAGCACAGAAGTCAGGACCCTGTCTCTTGCCTCTGTCCCCACACCTGGGCTGGGCCCCCAGACGGAGTCGGATAAACAGGAGACCTCATTCCCAGCAGCCGAAGCAATGAGGACTTCATCCTATGGGCTGCTGGCAAGGGCGGCCATCCCAGATAGCCACATAATGTGTCCCTCCTTCACACACCACCTCTCAGCGAAGCCTCCCCAGGTCCCTCCTACACTCACATCCCCGGCCCCCGCCCCGGCCCAGGCCACAGGCAGACTGCCAGCCTCTGTCCCCAGCCCGTTCCCCTCCCTTGCTTCACTTTTCTCCAAAGCTCTTACCACCCACCCCTCACAGGCGTTTGTTTATTACTGGGCCCCTTACTGGAAGATGGGCGGGAACTGGTGTCTGTTTTGTTCACTGCCCTGTCTTATAAAAACGTACATCTTACACACACGGTGTGCGCGTGCTAGTCACTGTTGTAAGCACTTAATGGGCACGGACTCCTCTGATCCTCAACAATCCAACCCATCACTCCCACTTTACAGATCGGAACATCTAGGCTCAGAACAGGTAACCGGTCCCACAGCCCCCGGAGTGGCCACCTGGCTTCAGAGCTCACGTTCCTAACCCCCAGGCACCCCTCTCTCTCACCAGAAGGTGCTAGATAAACATCTGTTGAGGGGATGCACGCGTCAGATGGATGGTTGAGGGGAGAGCGACTGAGAGGGCAGATGCAAGGATGTGAGCAGGGCGTGGCTCAGCCCGGGCACTGGGACACTCCGGACAGGCCATCCTCTGCTGCGGGGCCATCCTGTGCATGGCAGGATGCGTCTCTGGTCCCCACCTACCAGGTGTGAGTAGCGCCCCCTCGCGAGCTGCGACGACCAGACAAGTGTCCCCAGACATTGCCCCATGGCCACCTGGATGCACAGTCACCTGGGGTGAGAACCCCCTCACCCACCTGTACTCCTCCACAAAGGACACATCTTCAGCCACTTGCAGAGGGCTCAAGGGCACTCCCCTCCAGAAGGCCAGCTCCTGGAGCTGCCGGGCCACGGCCTCTGCCTCCCGCCGAGCCCCGCGGGCGGCAGCCACCAGCTCCGTACGCTGAGCCAGCACTTCCTCCAGGGTGGTCAGCTCTGTCCTCACGGCCTCACCCAGCCTCTCCACTGTCTCTGACACCTGCGTGCAGGGGGGAGTCTGGGGTCAGAGGCAGGCATGCCCTGGGGAGACGGGTGTTGGGGTGGAGTAGTTGTGGCAGGTGTCTGAGATCTGGGGACTAGGACATCTGTGGAATGATGTTCTGTGGCTCCCATCAGGAGCCCTGGGGGTCAGTGGCTTGGGTCCCAGGTAAGACAAAGGCCCTAGAACTGTAATTATGCCTGAGCATTTGAGTCTGAAGTTGGCATCTGTCTGCCTGGGTCTGAGGTCCTAAGTCTGGATTCCATGGTCCAGGGTCTGCCCTGGACACAAAATTTGAGGTCTGAGGTCAGCCTGGGTCTCAGCTCTGGATCTGGAACCCTGGGCCTGGGGATGGGAGCGAGACCCCTTGTCAGAGTCCTGGGTCTCAGCACTGAGGTCCCTGAGCTTTCGTTTAGGGCACAGATCGGGTCTGGGGGCCTGGATCTGACCTGAGGGCAGGGGTCCAGGGCTGAGACTAAGTGTGAATTGGGGTCTAGAATTGAGCCGCATGTTCCAGATCCGGGTGGAGGGTCTGAGGGTCCCACGTGTAAGGTCCTGGCTGCGGGCAGGGTTGGAGGTGGGGCGTATAGTCTGAGGTCGGAGTCTGGGGTCCTAAGTCTCAGGTGTGGGGTCTCGGCTCTGAGTTTGGGTCCCATTTCTCTGGGAGGTGGAACGAGTCTGGGTGTGGGTCTGGGGTCTGGCCGGTGCCTGGCCCCTCACCAGGTGGTCTATGGCGCTGAGCGTATGGTTGGCATGCAGCAGTGCCGAGCTGAGCTGGGACACCCCATCACTGGTCTCGCTGTTGCCATAGAAACCGATGCCAATGCCGGCGCTGAGAGGGGGAGGGACGGGAAATCACAACCCGTCCTGGGACCCTGGGGCCGCGTCCCCCCAACCTCCTCACACCCAATCCCCTCTCCCACCCCCACCCCCTTGGTCCAGCCGGTCGTGGGAAAGGAACGTCTTCAGCCTGGCCCCCACCGGTTGCCAAGGTAACGGGAAGCCCCCTCCCCCGCCCTAGGGACGTCATTGTGATGCTAATAGTGGGTGGAGGGGAGGGGCGCGGCGGGGGGGGGCGGATTTAACCCGCACCTTACTGGAGCGGAACCCCTGTCATGCCCAGCCCCAGGAGAAGCCCTACCCCCAGGATTGTCGGCCCCACACCCAGCCCTCCATCCCTTCCTCAAGCATCCCGAGTCTTCAGCACCTGTCCCTTGAGGGTGCCGCTGTCCCCTCCCCGATTCCTGGGGCTTCCTAGGACCGCTGGTCCCCAGTTATCATCTCCGGGGGGCCCCTGGGTCTGGAGCCCCCCTGGGTCTGGAGCTCCCCGCCTTCCCCCGCCCCCAGGACCCAAGGGTCTGGCCAGAAGCAAGGGAATGTGGGCCGATGGGCCAGAAGCCTGCGCCCCCGCCCCTCCGCGGCCGGCACACAGAGCTCCATTGTGGGGTCTGAATGTGAGCCCATCCCCCCCACCCGCAAGAGTGTCCCTCCGCGGAGGGGCCAGGCCCGACCGGGCGGAGGGAGCCGGACGCCCTCACAGTTCCCAGCGCCGGCCACCGCCCCCCCCCCCTAACCCTGGGCTCCCACGCCCGCCCTGGCGCCCCCGCCCATTGTTCCCGGCGGGACAAAGCTGCTCTTGTTCCCAGGCCGCTGGGGGCCGGCCGTGTCTCTCCCCCACAGGGCCTTTGTCCACCACCCTCGCCCACCCCCAGTCAGGAGAGCCCGAAGAGGAAGCATTTGGGATCTAGGACGCCCTGCTCCCCCCCCCCCCACCACAGACACCCCCAACACACTGTGCTGCTCCCCGCAGGGAGGCAGTGGGGGTAGGGCCCAGCCCGCCACTCCCCCGGATCCGGGGCGGGTTTCTCTCGGATCCCAAAGTCCGGATCTGTACAATAGGACTCCTGCGCTGCTGGGGGCGGCCTGACAGGGAGGGCTGGGCTTGGAGCCGGCTCTTGGTAAATGGTGAGCTGGCGTGTCCTCAAGTGCTCCCTCCTCTCTAACCACCGGTGCCCACCCGCTGCACAGAACCCCCCAACCCCCTCCTGGGCTCTGAGAGGGGCTTGCTGGTCTGAATCTCCACTGGCCACTTGGGCGAAGGGACCTTGAAAAGTTGCTTTGTCCCTCTCCCCGAGACTTGCCCAGGGTTAGTGGGAAGGAGTTAGACCAGCTCAGGTCTGGACTCCCAGCTCTGCTCCTGGACTGCAAACACTACTTTGCTGTCTGTCTCCTGGACTAGAACATCAGCTCCAGGAGGGCAAGAACCTCGCCTGGCCAGTTCAGTATCTCCCCGCACAGAGTAGATCCGCAAGGCATAGTAGTGGAATGAATGAATGAGCGAGTGAGTTAATGAATGATAGATATCAAGTGTTACTGCTCCCCGAGTAGGCCTGTGGTCCAGGCTCTGTACCTTCTCTCATTTAATCCCACCGTAACTAAGAATAGGAGGTGGGTGTTACTATAATGTCCATTTCAGAGACATGGAAACTGAGTCCTGGAGCAACTGACTCCACCACTCCCCTAGCTGCGCAGCGCTTCGGTGACAAAGCCACCAAACCCTAGCTCTTAACCCCTACCCCCTCCTGCTGGCCTGATTGCCCTTGGGAAGTCCCTTCTCTTCTTGAAACTCAGTCTGTCCATCCGAGAAATGGGAGCAGTTCTTCCCCCGCGGCAAGGCTGAGGTGGGATTCTAGGGCACTCGCAGGAAGACCAGCCGAGATTGTGGGGAGCCCCATCCCCACTCCCCACCCACCCTGGGGCCCCATTACCAGCCGACGAGAAGGGCAGCGATGCAGCTCCAGGTGACACAGCCTCCCCCGGGTGGAGGGCTTTTGGCCCCGGGGGGCTCTGGGGGCCGGCAGCAGCAGAAGCGGATGAGGTAGACAGCAATGAAAATGAGGCTCAGGCCCAAGCCCAGGCCTGCCAAGGCCGCCACCAGCAACAGGGCCTGGGGAAGGGGGAGACGTGAGGCCTCAGAGGGGCTTGCTGCTCCCTCCCTGCATGGCCGGAGGTCCTGGATCGGGGACTTCAGCGGAGGTGGAAGGAGCCCTGGCTAGAAAGGGGGGCCAAGCCCAGCCTCTGGTTTCCAGGTCTGTGGGGAAAGATGGGGTCCCCAGCCCCTCCCAGGCTGGCTGCTGGAGCTCGGCAGTTTGGGGCTGGGTCACTGGAGGGAGCTTCCTACTGAGAGGCCCAAAGCTTGGTGTCCAGTTCTGCTCTGGGTGTGACCTTCAGCAGGAGCCTTCCCCTCTCTGAGACTGTGTCCTCATCATCCCAGGCATCCCCTGTGTCCTCTGTTCCAGCCAGGCAGCTGGAACAGAGCAGCTCCCAGGAACCTTCTGAGACCTGCGTCCGGAACTAGGTGGGATCAGGGGGCGGACGGGGGTGGGGGGTGCCTGTTCCTGGAGATGGGTGTGAAGTCAGGGGCGGCAGGCTTCCTCTTCCCTCCTCCTTGCGGGTCCTCCCCACTCACTGCTCGCTCACTCCCCTGTGCTGAGCTCTGCACACCCACCGCAGTGTGAGTCTGTCACCCAGGGACTCACGGGGAGGGGGGGCGTGACAGCCTCCATGACAGAGTGTGTGTGCAAGACTCAGGGATGGAGACTTGGAGACAGGGAGACACAGAGTGGGGGTGGGGGAGAGAAACAGAGAGGAGTGGAAAAGCAGAGATGCAGAGAAAGGAGACAGAGACACCAAAAGCTGGGAGGGCAGAGGCGGGGCGGTGGGGGGATCAGGTATGTGTCGTTGGAAAAACCTTGCAGGACAGCAGGGCTCTCCACAAGGCAAGACTTTACAGGAGTGGCTGTGAGGTCCTGTCACCTTCATAGGTGCCCAGAATGGGACTGGGTTTACCTTGAGCCAAACAGCAGGTAGGGACAATATCCAGAACACAGTCACCCCTCCAGACTCACTAATGCTGTTTCCTGTAAACCACAGTGTGTCTCTGCCTTTGTCCTTGCAGTGTGGCTGGAGTGTGTGTGTGTGTGTGTGTGTGTGCACATGTGAAGGACACAAGTGTGTATGTGTGCGAATGACACAACTGTGTGGTATATTTGTTCCTATGGCTATGAAACTGGATGTTTTACCTTTGTTTATCTGCCATGAGATACTACACCTGTGTGTGTGAGGGAGCGAGTGAATGAGTGTCCCTGTGGAAACACCTATGTCCACAGGTGTGAGAGTTATCTGTTGGCATTTGTGTGTTTCTGGGCATGATTCTTTGAGTCTGAGTGGTTCTCGGTGGTGTGTGTGTGTGTGTGTGTGAACACGTGTGTGTTATATATGAGTGAATGTATGCGTATATGAAAATTTGTGTGTAAGAATGTGTGTGAGTGTGTATACAAGTGAATGTGGTGTGTGAGTGTGTAGGAGTGTGTGTGTGTGTGTGTGAGTGAGGATGAGAATGTGTAAATGTGTGCGTGTATACAAGTGAGCTTAGGGTGTGTGAATGTGTGAGTGAATGAGAGCAGGAATTGTATGTGTGTTTACTATAGGTGACTGTGAGTGTGAGGACAGGAATGTGTGTGAATGTGTAAACGTGTGTCAGTGTGTCTCTGTGTGTGAATGTTCATGTGTACACAGTGGATGTGGGTTGTATGTATGTGACTGTGTGGGGTGTGAATGAGAGCAGGAATTGTGTGAGTGTGAATGTGCAAATGTTTCAGTGTGTGTGTATGGATATGTGACTGTGTGTATACAAGTGAGTGTAGGGTATGTATATGTGAGTATGTGTGGGGGGGATAGGAATGTGTGTGCATGTGTAAACGTGTGTCTGTGTGTACACAAGTGAGTGTGGGGTGTGTGTATATGACTGTGGGGTGTGTGTAAGTGTGTGAGTGAGGGCAAGAATTGTGTGCATGTGTAAACGTGTGTCAGTGTGTATACAAGTAAACGTGGGGCGTGCATGTGAGTGAGGGCAGGAATTGTATGTGTAAACGTGTGTATGGATATGTGACTGTGTGTGTATACAAGCGAGTGTAGGGTATGTATATGTAAGTATGTGTGTGTGTGAGGACAGGAGTGTGTGTGCATGTGTACGTGTGTCAGTTTGTACACAAGTAAGTGTGAGGCATGTGTATGTGACTATGCGGGATGTGTGTGAGTGTGTGAGTGAGGACAGGAGTGTGTGTGCATGTGTACGTGTGTCAGTTTGTACACAAGTTAAGTGTGAGGCATGTGTATGTGACTATGCGGGATGTGTGTGAGTGTGTGAGTGAGGACAGGAGTGTGTGTGCATGTGTAAACGTGTGTCACTGTGTATACAAGTAAACATGGTGTGTGGGTGTGTGTGTGTAAACATGTGTATGGATATGTGGCTGTGTATGTCTACAAGTGAGTGTGTGAGTTTGTCTTCCGGCCCCGTGTCACCCAGTGCCTGACTTTTCCCAGCTGTGCCCACAGTGGTGATCTTCCTGGGGGACAGTGTCCCCTTCTGGGTCATGTGACTCCGTGCCTGTCCCAGTGCTGTCACCCTGCCTGTCGGTGAGGGGGGCGGAGTGAGCCTCTCCGAGCGCCTGGGGCAGAGCCTGGGGCCAGCAAGCTGCGTGGCTGTGTGGGCAGGTCTCCGCTGTGAGCGGGCGTGGGTGACCAGCCCTAGAGGTCGTGACTGTGTACACCACAGGCCCTGGGCAAGGGGATGGCCGTCCCTGTTTGGTGGGGAGAGGGCAGCGTGGAGAAGGCAGGGAGGAGCCGCGGCCGACTGGTACAGCCATGACCCAAATAGCTCAGAATACAGCACACATCCCCCTCTCTGCTTTTCTGGGACCTCCGCCCCCCACGCTTCCCAAGCTCTCCAATCCCCAGCCCTTTATCCCAGGAGCTTCCTAAACCAGATCCAAGGGGCCTGGACCCTAGAGGCAGGGCCCAGGACCCATCCAAGGGCTCCACCAGGGCTCCCAGGCACCCCCCCGCCCTCACATGCACACACTCCCCCACCCTTCCCCGGCTCAGCTAAGCCTTGCTCCTCATTAATCTCAAAGTCAAGGACTTGAATTAAACTGGGTCAGGGGACAGTTCTTTCGCCCCTGTTGGAGCTGACCCAGGCTGGGCCCCCTTCCCCAGGGACCCCTGCTCCCGCAAGGTTCCCACCCCAGCCCCAACCTCCAGACCCATTTCTGTCATCCTCTGGTCCCCAGATGGAACCTCGTTTCCACCGCCCCCCACCCAAGCACCCTGCCCCCCCTTCTGTCCTGGGGCTGGGGACTGGCTGCAGCTTCCTCTTCCAGCACCTCTGCCTTGTCTTCCCAGCCCTGGCCCTACATCCTCTGGCCCCTTCCCCATTTCAGGTCTCAACCCTGTCCTGAACCGGGGCACCCCAGCCTCTTCCTCTCCACCATTATCAGTTCCTGTCTCTGCTGAGTCCCACCTTAACTGGACACCCCAGATCCTATGAGGGGAGGGCGCATCTTTCAGGACACGGAGAGTGGACCTATCGCCCTGATGACCCTGAAGGCTAGCCTCCCAGGCAGCTCTCAGAGACCCTGGACTCCAAGGCTCCCCAGTCCCATCCCTCCTCTGTGACTAAGAGGTCCAGACCCCTGGCCCTTCCTTATTTAAGGAGTCAGGGCTCTGGTCTCCCAGCGCCTGTCCCAGGGGAACCTCCAGGTATGGGAGCCCCATGCTCCTCTTCCTTTCAGGTACCCCAAAGTCCGGGCTCGGCCTCCACCCCCAGAGAACACAGGAATCTGTCACCCAGCCCCTTTCTCCCTCGGGACCCATAAGCTCTGGCTCCCCCCTCCGCACCCGCACCCACGACCCCGCACCGGCTCCCACCTGCTGGTATTCTTGCTCTTGGGGCGCGAAACCGCTGGGTACCGGGCGGAGCTGGAAGTCGGCGCGGGGCAGCTGGTGAAGCAGATGCACCCAAGCGGACGGTCGGTAGCCCGGGGGCGCCCCCATAGCCCCCGGGGAGGGCGCAGCGGGGCCGACGCCGGGGCTGCGGGAGCCTCGGCAGTGGAGCGGGGCGCGGGCGGAGCGGGGTCTGGCGGGGCTCAAGGGAGAGGAGCAGGGGGAGGAAGAGGGTGGGGGGCGGAGATTGGGGGAGGAGGGGGGAGGCGCGGGCCAGACGGGGACGGTGCTGCCTCTGGTGGCTGCCGGGGGGACTGCCAGCGGGCCCCCAGCGCTCCGCCCCTCAGTGATGGCTCCCACCTGCGGCCGGCGCAGGTACCACGCTGTCCAGCGACATCACCGTCCAAATGAGGCCGCTCGTACCATGCAATCACCCTAGAGCAGCACAAGGTTCCCTTATCTCTAGGAAGAACCTTTACGTCTGTGCAAAGGTCACTAAATATTTGCATAGCACTTTACAAATAACGGTCAGTTGCATCAATTAAAAAAAAAAACCCTCACTTCTGTGTGTAAGCGTCCTTTCATCTATAAAGGCTGTCATTTGGGTAAAACCCCCACCTTTTAAAATCTGCATAAGAAGACAGCTTCTATACACAAACCTTCCTATGTGTGCAGACCACTCCAGGATGTAAGCCTGCATACCGGTGTTAAGGAACCCCTCACACCTGTATAAGGACCCCTCCCATCCCAAGAAGAACCCCGCTCATCTATCTAGAAATAGGGACCCCTCCTATCTTTATAAGAATGCCTGCCATGGGCTTAAGAACCTCTCCAGACTCTTTAAGGATTACTTCAATGTACATAAGGATCCTCCTGCTTCTTGCCATTCACTTTACAGTTCACAGAGTATTTTTCCCAGCTGCTGTCTATAATGAGTCTCACAGGAGCCCACTGAACCACACTGATTCGTGGGAAAGTAGAGACCCTTGGAGGGGACCCAGTTATTTGACATCACCCCCCGGGCAGTCAATGTTGGAGCTAAAACTAAGATTCCTGGGAATCTGACCCAGGGATCCTTCCCACCCTTGTGGAACTAGGCTAGACTTTGCCACCTGGGGTCTCCACACCTGGCCTCTCCTAGAAGGTTAGTACTCCACCTTTCTCATCCCAATGTTGTGCCCCAGACTGGTAAGAAAGGGCTGGGGATAGCAGTTGCCCATCCCATTGTTAGTAGAAAAATAATGATAGTAATGGTGATGATGGTGGTGATAGTCACAAGATGATGGTGGTGATGATGGTAATGGAGATGATGGTGATGGCGATGGAGATGGTGGTGATGGTGATGGAGATGGTGGTGATGGTGATGATGAGGAAGATGGTGGTGGTGATGATGGTGGTGGTAGTCATGATGATGGTGGTGATGGTGGTAATGGAGATGAGGACAATGGGGGTGGTGATGATGGTAGTGATAGTCATGATGGTGGTGATGGTGATGGTAATGGAGATGGTGGTGATGGTGATGGAGATGGTGGTGATGGTGATGATGAGGAAGATGGGGGTGGTGATGATGGTAGTGATAGTCATGATGATGGTGGTGA